ACAGCTCATTTACCTTATTCTCGAGCTTCCAGTGAACTATTTTAATGACAGATTACGTATGAGGCAATACAGAGAAATGATACAAATACAGCTTCCGGGCTGTTGGTCGACATATCTAACATCTCGTAGTTCCAACACTCAGTGTCAGTGTAGCATAAAGCAGCGAAAAGACGAGATACGGTGTATCGATACAAAAGTAAATAGAAGAAAATGAACACACGACGTACAGGTCCGGACACGGTGCGGACACGATTCGCTTCAACTATTTTCCACTGTATCGATAATCATGCACCAGACACCGTACCAGACACCGTAACTCGTCTATTCGCATCTTTACAGTAGAAAATAGTTGAAGCGAATCGTGTGTTCATTTCTTTTGTTTTCTATGTATCGATCATCCCTCAACGTACACCGCACCGTACATTGCCTATTTCCACCTTTAGGTGTAAAACACCATTCCATCGCCAACTCACATTATGCCATCGCGTGTTTTTTTCTATAATATCAAACAGAGCGCCGTGTCAGTTGATGTATTTATTTGATTAAACTATTAGAATTCACGTCTGGTTTATCACACAAACTTTCAAATTAGTTTCTTCATTCTCAAGATGAAAGCGAAGAAACGAGGTGACGAAACATCTATAAGATTAATTTCATCAGAGACATGAGCCAGTCATTCTATATTTTATACCAGGCCAATGTTGATTCTAACTTTTTAAAGATAGTCGATTTTAAATAAGAATAATCTTTAGTGATACGAATTGAATGATGTCTTAAACTTCATAGATAAAACCCGATAGCTCTTAATTCTATATCAGTAATCCATCTTTTATTTGCATGTCATAAACTTCAAGACCCATTTTATATCTTATATAAGTATCCAAACTCCGTTCCATTTGATAATAGGAAAAAGCTTTTCGAATCATTTGAATGGAACAATCGACAGTTCGAAAAAGAGCAGGCTTATACCGCTATCCTGGCCAAAAAGTTCTCATTGCACCCTGCATGGCGTTGTCCGTCTCCATTAGCCTCATGGTGCAGAAAAGTAGGACGTAAAACTCGTTTCATTTCATTTTCCATTTGGTTATACAGAATGTAGTTTGATTTTGTTTTTTATGAATATCTTATGCACCCCGTTCATCCCCTTTACATTGAGAACCTAGTTATCCTGAGAACTAGCGTATAACATGTTAATGGATTAGAGTAACACTACAGTTATATTGAACTGGTGGAATTGACAATCCCGAGATTTCAGATTAATTTGAATGACAGTGAATACCAAGCCAGTTAATGTGATTGGAATCTTCAGATGTCAGTTGTAATAGGGTTGAAAATAAATGATGTCATTATTACTGCCAAGTGTGGCTCTTAAAAAACCATCAACATTGTAACAGCGCTTCAATCATTGTGGCTCGCTTTCTTTACCATGTGTACGTTAAAGATCCCTTGACAATTGGCAATTCAATAAGAGTAACGAAACATTCATACGTGCCAATTGAATACAAAGATCTTTTGACAATTTGCAATTCAATAAGAGACGCAAAGTTTTCCAGTCTGTGCACATATATAACTTGGCAATTTGAAGTGGAATTGAAATTTATTAGTGTTCCCCACTTTAAATACCACTTCTAATTAGGTAATTAAAGAAATTAACAATACATTGGCAATTAAATTTAATCAGATGGGCGAAACGTTTCAAATTTTCCACTTCAAAATATAAAGAAAATGAGATTTTTTGTACAAATATTTGTACAAAATTCTTTTGGCAATTTGCAACAAAGGGAGTCGAATACTTGGCAATTGAAAACAGAAAAAGAAGTAAGCTGTTGTCTCCAATAAGGGACAGGTGCACTATTTTTTGACCAATCATACTTTAGTCTCAGAAACTGGAATTTTTTTATAGCTAAGCCAATCAGTTATAGTGTTCACAGCTCACTGCCGCAATTTGAGCCTTCAAATCTATGTGTGTCAAGAATTATCCGCGTTTGAAAGTTAAAAAGGCGAGTCGTCTTTTGTGAGACAATACCATTATATAAAAAGACATCTATAGAAATGGAATAACAAATTTCAAGTTTGAGATATTTTTGAAGGAATTATGCGATTATTTAATTTCCGAGAGACAGAAGTGGTTTGAAGTTGTTTTAATGTCTCCAGAACAATCCATTACGGAGTAGAGTTTATTTGGATAGGTTGAAATAAAAGAGTTATTGATAACTGAAGAAGGCTAATAAAATAATAACCATAACAGGAAGTTAAAAATCTACAAAATGTAATTCAAGTCTACTCTCCTTAGAGAAACAGATTTGTTTTGTGTTGTTACAAAGGCTACACACGTCAGTCAAAGCGCTCGGGCGGGTAGAAACCACTAGGAATAAGCCCTGTCATCTGCCACAAATTTGTCGAAATTTTGATCTGAAAATGATATCATGAGTAGCAATCAAGCTGTATCTGTTGGAATGTTACGAATTGACAAGCAAGGTAGTGTATTTTTCTAACCAGGACCTGTATTAGCTCCACAGTAACACAACTGAGTGATATTTGTATGGGCTGTTATGTAACTGCAACGTTTCAAAATTTTACACTGTCATCATGCGATGAATGTTGCCTATTAAATCTGTAATTTGTCACCAAACCAGAGGAAGATAATTTTACTGTTCGTTGAACAACGCCATTGGGTCATCCATCATTGTTCTAGCCCCACTTTCATTATAGTCAAAATGATGTCATCTACATTGAGAGTATTGATTGGACAGTTTAAATTGTCTCGAGATTTGGTGAATTCCCATGCTGGACGATAAATCCCACATGTCTTTATTTATAGCTTTAGTTTTAGAGGAACATCCTCAAGACACAAATTGAAATGCAGTCTGTATTTTGGTGGGGAAATATTAGGCTGTTACAAGAAAATGGAACATAATATACCATAAAGAATAAATACCTCAGGAATTATGACTTAATTCTATTATAAATACATATCTATCATTAAATTGGCGAAGACAACACATTAATAATAAAGATAAAAACATTCTTCAAAGAATATCGCGACAGAAAAGGTATATCATAGGAGAAACGAATTTATCATTTAGTATTTTTGAAAACTTATACAAAATTAAAGGGATTGTAAAGAGGGTTTTTATATTTTTTTTTATCTCTATCGGACACACTGATAGCATCAATTTTGATGACGTCATTAATCGTAAAATACGCTTCCATCACATAAGGCCCTTCGCGATTAGTGACGTCCTCAAACGCTTAGTTTGAGTGGAAATGAAGTAACCATATGAGCCTGACTGAAAATTCAAATGATGCTATTAGTGTCCAAGATACACATGAACATTTTAGAAAACCTATTTACAACACCTTTTACTATCTTTACGAGGCTTACGTCGGGACGAATACGTTCTCTCGACCCTTACATCCTCTAGATTGGCTTTTGTGTCCTCAGAATTCGTTTTCTATGACTCTGACTAAGACTGATTGGTAAGGTTTGTTTCAGATTGTTGGATAACTTTATCTCATAAGATAAAATGAGTCACCTGTCAACAGAGAATAAAATAGCCTCGCTTCACCAGTTCATAATTGATTTGGATATGAAACAGACGTAGAGTTTGACCTTCCAATGACTTTGTCAGTCATTTTGTAGATGACATGTCATTCGGAATTTCCCCAGAGACAATATGAAGGACTGATTGGATCATAAAATCTTTGACCAATTTACTGTTTCTGCCCATTCGTAGATAAATCAAGTTTTTCCGAATTATTAAAAGTGAATTTGAGTATCAGCCTTAAAACACTATCTGTAAAGGTAGACAAACGCCAATGTTCGGCGATCTGTTTTGCAACGCTTGAAAGCGTCATAGGATCGAGGAGGTCGTCAGACAAGCGTTGTAACATCTCATAGGGCGGTACACGCCTGACAAAGACGCTGCAAATACGTGAGAACGCAATATGGTCGCATAACTCGCGGTTAGAGGTCGACTGTTTTTAAGTTTATAATTTTTTTAGGGACTGGTGTGACGGGGATATTAACTAGCTAATTCGATTCTGATTGCGATCCGTTAGGACAAATTGTTTTACTCTAATAACTGTTTAGCGTGGACTGGATAATAAGCTAGATTCCTTTAACTCGGATTGTTTTTATAAGATTTTTTATTGACGAAATTGTTACAATATTTACAGAATTGATTCAGAACCAAATCTCGTGAAACTTGTTGATACAGAAGACCATATTTTAATAACAGACGATAGGGGCAGACAACTCGTGTCAGAAGACTGAAATAACACGCTCTGTCAACAAACAAGATCTGTTTCAAGGCCGTCACTATTAATTAGAAGGTTTTAGTTGCATGGATCTTCTCTTTTATAGCCCCGTCGGACCCACCGGAATGCGATATTACGGCGACTGGAAATGAACTAGGTCGTGGTCGATCGTTAGGTAAAGAAGAGAAAAAGTTCTTAAAACAGTCAACTTCATACTGCAAGTTATGCGACATTATTGCGTTTTAATGTTTTTGTCACTCGTATACTGCGCTTTTATATCGCACTAGGAGATGTTACAACGCCTATCTGACGGCTTTCTCGATCCCGTGGTGTTTTCCAGGCGTTCAAGAATAGATCTCCAAAATTGTTTTGTTTTGAAAATGTCCAAAATAAACGCTGTGTCTCGACGGATAGTAGCGACAATGTCGACAATAACACGCTCTGAGCCATTTTCCGCCGTAGTCGCATCCCCGTGAGAACGCCTTTCCAGTGTGACGGAGCCAAACAAACTATCCTTAGCCTGCAGACATTCAAAAACATGGGAAATAAATCTTTATTGAGCATACAGACCACATTTAATTTAGGATGAATCTACGTAAAATATACATCAACTTCAGGGACACTTCAGAGTTCATGTATACACTTTCCAGATTTGTTTCAGGATACTCATAGGAATCATACTGCTTACAGACCACTGCCAATCTCCCAAACACTGTTTTTTGAAGCTATGATTCAAAATTCGTAATAATTAAAGTTTATTTATAGTACAAGACATACAAACCTAACAATAGATAACAATAAATATAGTATTTATTAACATTTTTATTTAAAAGTGCATTCTGTTTTTTCCCTTCAAATTTATGAAAATAATATACCAAAATAAAGAGAAATGTGTCCCCTAAGGACAACACAATATTACTTATTAATATTTTACATAAATACTTTTACAGTTTTATTGGTTGGTAAAACAAATAATTATACAATTATATTTCTATACAAATTGAAACAATATTGCATGAAAACTGAGGATCTTATTTAGAAATATTTTCAAAATTAAATTCGGCATAGATTCAACACTGACAATACCTGCTGGCTACAAATAAGACAAATCAAAGAAAATATTAAAACAATCAACAAAAATAATAAACAGGAAAAATAGGAAAGATTAAGATTCAACGTCTATTTCATTTTCAAACTTTTCATTACTATAATATTTAGTTCCAACTCTGCGTCTAAATTTCATAGACATTTTAAAATATACAAAGTAAATCGGCACTAAATCTAAATCTACTAATCAATACAGAATTAATTTACAGTATATTTATTTTCAAGTTAGCTCCAAAACAATATTTTCCCCGAAAATACGGGAGTTGACAAGCTCGAATCCGCACCCCCAGTCCCTGCCCCACTAAAAAAACCGCTATAAGCTCTACGAAGTAAAAGTCAGAAAGGGTAAACTGCTCTGCACCTATACTACTGTGTAAAATAAATAGAGTAACAAAGATCAGCTATAAAAATTATAAAATATAATATCATAAAGTCGAGAGAATAATTTACGCCTTGATTGGTTTGGTATCAGGTTCATATTCTTGTCCAGTATTTCTGAAGAAAAACCAAAATATGAACATTAAATTAACATTCATATATTGGACCTAAAGTAAGAAATGTTAATGAAGTGGCCTTGACTCTAATTCAATATTATCATAGTATCAAAACATAAAAACTTGTAAAATGAAAGATCTTTTAAATTCTGTCCACGGGAGGTAATTAGTAGCGAAATTGCAATATTATCAGACCACAAAACAAAAATTGTGTCGTACCTTTTTCTTAAGCAACACAGTACACCCACAGCAAGAATAATCAGTAAAGCGATGGTTACAGATAAACACACACTAAGAATCAAAACTAGTTCCTCTGGAAAAAATCCAAACATGTCATGTCTTAGTTTTAATGGATCTAAAACACAGAACTTACAGGGACGGTTCGCCATCCATTTGACCAATCGTATGATTGTCTCAGAAACAGGATTTTATTTAGCTAAGCTAATCAGGAATAGCGTTCACAGTTCACGTGGAAATATTTTCCTTCAAATGCATGTGTGTCCAGGATCATTCGCGTTCGACTCATCTTTTCTTGAGACTAATATAGAAATAGAAAGTGAAATTTCTAGTTTGAGATATTTTTAGAGGAATTATGCTATTTTTGTACATTTCTAGTACTTCTGAAGACTATTTACATATTATATTGTATATTCAACGTCCAAATCAACCCCCAAAATAGCAAACCTATCCCTTTAACCTGTCGGTCAGAGGTCTAGGCGAGGGTGGGGTCGGAGACGAACCTGTTACGGTAGCATTTATTCTAGTTATCATTTCATTATTCGTAGGCCCTAGAATAACTTTCTTATATTTGTAGTTGAAGGAATTGAAAAATATCCCTCTCAATGTATAGAACACCCCCATAATTTACCATCAATTAGACTCGTTGGAAAATATCAGAGGTTAGAATTTCAGATTCTAAAGACAGAATTTTCAACATCCTTAATCCATGACGAATGTGAACCCCTTTCCTTATCCCCTTGTTTATACCTGATTTATAATCTGTTTTTAAACCAAGTTGAGAATGAACATTATTGGTTTGATTATCATCTACATAGGTTGTCTTCTCGGTGGTAGTTGACCGTAATGTCTTGGTAGTTAGAGTACTTGTGCGTGACTTGGTAGTTGGAGATACGGTAGTTTGTTTGCAGAGAGTAGAATCACCTGTAATTGTACAATAGAACGGTTTAGATGCTTTATGATTTTAATATCAAATCATAGGAAATATTAAACACTAACTTTATTAATGACATTCCAGTGTTCGTTTTAAATTTTAATATTTTTCAAAACATGTTTTTAAACTCTCTACACTCTTTGTATCTTTATTTATTCACGCTTGAGTTCCGTGGTCCGTACTATGGGACATTTGCCCCATAGAAATATGCTTTGCACCCAAATTTGCACTCCAACTTAATATCTAACTAATTTTTTGCCCCAAAATATGAGCAAGAATGCACCAAATCAATTATCTTTTTCAAGGATTTTTATATACTCTCTTAGAAGCTACAAAAGAGACTTGCACCATGGCGCCCCCCACAGATCTCTCGCATTTTGAATTCAACATCGACATTTGATCCCCTATTAAGTTGGTTGGCAGATGACAAGTTAACGTTCGCTTCCAGCGGATGCTGATTTCACAGAGTAGGTAGTTGTTGGTAGATGACAAGTTAACGTTCGCTTCCAGTGGATGCTGATATCAAAAACTAGGTAGTTGTTAGTAGTCGTAGTAGTTGGTAATTGCATTGGTTCAAATTGGATGATTCTGTGTTCGGGTTGAATGACATCCCCTATTAATTCTGACTGTACCCTATTGGTGCTTTGTATTTTGAGTCTCTCTGAAAAGCTCCTTGAAAGCCAAACAATGGACTAAAGATAGGGCAACCACTTCGACCAAGCCAATAATGGACAAAGGTACGCACGATCTTGTCGAACTAGCAAGCTAGTACAAATCAACTAAACTGAGATTGCTCAAAATTCTATAAATGTTACTGTGTTTTCTCATACAAATTCAAACGCTTCACTTGAAATCCAATGACATGAATTGAATTTGACCGAATCACAACGTAAGGCAAACTATTCTTCAAACTTCGTATGCTCTTTGTTTCTGAACTGATGTTTAAATTTCCGACTTAATTGTGATTTGCGTCGCTACCAGAATAATCATAATTCCAGGGACAGGGAAAGAAAATAAATAATTCTCTCATTCCCTTGTATATTCTATAAAAATGTCCCGTCTCAACTAGGCCCTATCATCACGACCCAAAATTTAACCTTGATGCTCATAGCTACAGAGAATACAAAGACATAATCCCAGCTTTGTATGTTCGGAATGCTATTTCCCTTCATAATTGATTTTTTTTTGTTATGTAACTTACCGAAGCAATAACGTTCATCACTACCAAGCGTTCTCTTTAAATTATACACCATATAGTCCGTACAGTTTTTAATCTGTATCGGATACTTGACTTTACAGCACGATGAAAACATACTTAAACATCCCATTCTATCAACTATACCATCTTCTACTGTAGGATGGCTACCTATAGATAATATGATAAAACATACTTAAACATCCCATTCTATCAACTAAACCATCTTCTACTGTAGGATGGTTACCTATAGATAACATGATAAAACATACTTAAACATCCCATTCTATCAACTATACCATCTTCTACTATAGGATGGTTACCTATAGATAACATGATAAAACATACTTAAACATCCCATTCTATCAACTATACCATCTTCTACTGTAGGATGGGTACCTATAGATAACATGATGAAACATACTTAAACATCCATTCTATCAACTATATCATCTTCTACTGTAGGATGGTTACCTATAGATAACATGATAAAACATACTTAAACATCCAATTCTATCAACTATACCATCTTCTACTGTAGGATGGTTACCTATAGATAACATGATAAAACATACTTAAACATCCAATTCTATCAACTATACCATCTTCTACTGTAGGATGGTTACCTATAGATAACATGATAAAACATACTTAAACATCCCATTCTATCAACTATACCATCTTCTACTGTAGGATGGATACCTATAGATAACATGATAAAACATACTTAAACATCCCATTCTATCAACTATACCATCTTCTACTGTAGGATGGGTACCTATAGATAACATGATAAAACATACTTAAACATTCCATTCTATCAACCATACCATCTTCTACTGTAGGATGGGTACCTATAGATAACATGATAAAACATACTTAAACATCCCATTCTATCAACTATACCATCTTCTACTATAGGATGGTTACCTATAGATAATATGATAAAACATACTTAAACATCCCATTCTATCAACTATACCATCTTCTACTATAGCATGGTTACCTATAGATAACATGATAAAACATACTTAAACATCCAATTCTATCAACTATACCATCTTCTACTGTAGGATGGTTACCTATAGATAACATGATAAAACATACTTAAACATCCAATTCTATCAACTATACCATCTTCTACTGTAGGATGGGTACCTATAGATAATATGATAAAACATACTTAAACATCCCTCACATACAGTAGGGAAATAATTCATTCATTTTATTGGTTGAAAATTATAAGAACCAGAACATGAGATGAATAATAATGTCGTCAGATCAGAAATGGTAAGTGGTGTCACCATCAAAAGGAAAAATTCTTAACAGAAAAAGCGAGCTGATCGAAAAAGATAAGATATGCCTACCATTCAACCAGACATTGCTGTGAGAACCACAAAATCCACGAGAAACACACTCAGTAGGCATAGTAAGATCTTCTCCTGTTGACTCTAGCTGAACTCTTCTCCATCCTTCAGCTATAAATCTATCATGGGACTCAGAATAATACAGGTCACATTTAATACTTCGTCCACCATCATCATACAACATTCTGTAGCTGTTACATGGATCATCTTGTAATGAAACTGAAATACAAATTATCTTGAAGGTCATCATATCACGAATATGGGTTTCGACCTGGTCTTATTAACCGAGGAAGTATGACTAATGGGGGTGTGGTTTGGTTAAAGGAATACCTCTTAGGATGGTCAAAAAGTGACTTTGTTTAAACTTGGCCAAAATGAGTCTTTGTTCATCAGTGGACCTAGCTGATGTCAAAACTATACAACAGAATCCCTCTATAATCCAATAAATCTATAACCCATTAACTAACTAATAATTCAATAAACTAAGTCATTTTGAAACATGCGTAGCAGTTAAATGGATATATCGTCTTATATATAGATTCCATTCTGTGGGCATGGCAGCTAGTAAGATCAACTGATGAATATATATTGAAAGGCGAAAGAAACGTCACTTGGGTGTATAATATATGTCTTTATTTTCGAATGTTTATATATGCCAGTAAAGACATTGGAGAAAGTCGAAAATCATCAAAATTAACAGTATAAACAATGTTTTTCCAAATTGTGAACTTGGAGAGGCACCAGAAGACATCACAGCTAAGGGTCCAAAATCAGTACCTGGTGTGGCGCCATTGGCGGCGACTACAGCTACACATCTTGTGTATATGGAGTGGACTAGCCAGTTGATGGAGACCATGGTATCTGGGCCCATATCCTCAGGAACGTTACATGCAGTTCTTCTGCAGTTGTCGCCATTGGGCGCACTTCATTGAGTCTCAGAGCAGACCAAGGTATGACTTGAATGTTGTGCTGCTGGAGGAAAGCCCTAGTGACTCTGGCAGTGTGGGTTCGGGCGTTGTCCTGCTGTAATGTGTGATTTCGGTGACGGGCAAAAAAAGCCAAGATGTGGGGTCTGAGGACTTGGTCAATGTAGCTGAGAGCTGTGATTCCATTACCCCTGCCTGGACCAATATTCTGAAACACCACTCTCTGGTTCAGTCCAATTCCTCCCCAACCATGATGCTTAGACCACCCCACGAGTCCCGTTCTATGACACAAGCTTCAGTATAACGATCGCCCCTCCTTCGCCAGACGTTGACTCTGCCATCCACCGTGGAAACACAGTAACGATGATTCTTCTCCATTGCTGTTGACGCCAATTCTGATGCTGCCTAGCCCATTACAGTCGGGCCTGTCGGTGATGATCTTTCAGGCTGGGTCCACAAGCAGGACGGTGGCAGGAAATGTTGTTGACAGTGAGGCGACGTTGGACTGTACGATCACTGATGGCACGTTGGTGGTTGCCAATGGTATGCCGAGCTGTTTCAGTGGCCATTCGAAATCGGTTTTCTCTCATTACCTGATAATCTTGGCATGGCTGATAAATCGAAATGACGAATGTAAGCCTGATGGTTTTGATTGTCTTTTATACCCATACCGTCCATGATATTAACGTGCATCATGATTTTAACGAGACGTTTCAGCAACTGGATCACTTGTACTTTTGCAGACTGCGTGTGGGCAAACCTCTCCATTTTAAACACAAATGTAAACTGAACTTTAAGGCAATAAAAAGGACCGATAGAATGTTAAATCTAAATTAGTTGACTAAAGAACACGACAGAAGCAGAGTCAGTTAGTTTTTTCCAGTATATTTAGAAGTGACGTTTATTTTGCCTTTCAGTATATATACTCTTATTGACCAAGTTTGAGAATTTTATGTCCGATCTTAGAAGTAGTATTTCTGTAACAAAGGTTTAACATTCTGGAGATTATGCTTAAGTGATATTGATGTAATTTCTTTAACATATATAGTTTTAGGCCTACCTGTTAACGGTAACAACATCACAATTAATATCAACCCCAACATCGTGATTGATATTTACGATATGATTAAATAACACAGACCACAACAAATAAACTTCCTTGATCGACGGCTCAAAACGATATAACTATATTCAACAGTTATAAATCACGAGATTATGTTTTTAACCTTTTGAATACCATTTCCATATGAATGACAGGTAACAGAAAGACCCAGGGCGTTATTAATATGAATTACAATCATATGTTTGCGTAATACACTGAACATTTGTAAAATAGTATAAGAGGGGCCATATATTGTCCACGACTTATGGAAATTTAATAAATGATAACTGAACATGTATTAGAATTTTACCCTTTTCACAGCAAGTAAGATTTATCAGACAAATTTATGAAATATGAGAGATAGTAAGTCGCGGGCACGAGATAGCAAGATCGTGGTCACGAGATAAAAAGTCGTGGCCACGAGATGCCAAGTCATGGTCACGATATATTAAGTCGTGGCCACGAGATGCTCTACCACTCTCCCAGAGACAACTCTTTACCAATCTCCCAGTGGCATCACTCTACCACTCTCTCAGAGACAACTCTACCATTCTCCCAGAGACAACTCTACCACTCTCCCAGTGTCAACACTCTACCACTCTCTCAGAGAAAATTCTCTACCACTCTCTCAGAGACAACTCTATCACTCCCCCAGTGGCAACACTCTACCACTCTCTCAGAGACAATTATCTACCACTCTCTCAGAGACAACTCTACCACTCTCCCAGAGACAACTCTACCACTCTCCCAGTGGCAA